TTTCTTAAGCGTTGTAGCTATATAATTTCAAACATCCTCAAGAGCTATAACACATCTGCAGCAGAACTGGATATGAAGACAAAATTGCAGGACAGGAACACTTTAATTGTCCACTAATCTTCAGATTTCCTGCTATGTTTTAAAAACTTTATTTGTGAAAACCTTTAGCGTGGCCGACAGCTGGCAGCCTTTGGCGGCTAGCATTGAAATAAAACACTTTCATGTTTTTTTTAATTTATAATTGGACGTAGAAAACCATTCTATAGAAAGATATCATCAAACAAGAAAAATAATTTTTTTCAAGTAAAATTCTTTATTTTATAAATTATAACACTTACCTGCTTTATAAATCCAGAGAATTCCAAAATGATATAATCTTCTTTTGAACACTTTATTCTCAAATAATATATACACAGATTATCCCTTCATTACTTTAGGATGTCATAAAACGCAGTAAAATTTTATAATTGCAAGATTTTGATATGAATTTCAATATGTAACTTAAAAACAGAATAGCTAAATTCTTGGTGCTTACGTACTAACGCCACCCCAGCAGAAGTTGCTCTAATGAGCCAATAAAGAACAATACTGTTGTTCGCACACAGGTATCTTTTGAATTCCTTGTAAGTAATATAAGTAATATGGCTGATTGATACGAATTTTGCGCCCAACTCACACTGACCACAGTGTTGATGAAAAATATCCTCATGGTAGATGGATCATGGTTTAGAATCCATCGGGCTAACCATTGAAGATTTTCGTGGTTTTCCTCTCCACGTAACGAAAATGCGGGTTAGTTCATCAAAAAGTCCTTCCCGAAGGTTAGACAGCCATAATGCTTGAACCAGGAGTTCCCTTGTCTTCTGTATTGGGTTCAAAATTACATTACTACGAAAATGAAAAGTGATTCGTAAACTCAAATTTGGGCCTGCTGTTAAACGTAGGTTATAAAAAAATACTCATTTGGAAATAATACAGCATAAAAGTTTGATCTAAAAGTGCCGCTCCTAGAGAAAATACGGCTCATCATTATATTGCCCAAGCTTTTTACATGGTGATACAAATTGTCTCTCCACGTCGCTGGATAATAGACTTCTTTATATAACTAATGCCGTTATTGAAAATTATTATTCTTTATGTTTTTAGAAACAAGCCATTCTTTACATAAATTTATATGGCGAAGGTTGTAGTTACTTCTTTTCACGCTCAATTTTTCATTCCATGATAATTTAAATATTCACCTCAACTAATAAGTATGGTAGATGTTCAAAGCTCGTAAATGTTATTGTACAAAAGCTTGCAATCGGCTCTAAATACATAATAGATTGAGGCTAAAAATTCGATCAGTCTGTACTATCTTAGGGGTGGAAAGGAATAAAAATCAACCACCACCTTTAAGAAATATGCGAAATTTTATGACTCTGAATTAATATATTCTGCTTCCTCAAAAATTCAAAAGATATGAAAATTAGATTAAAAATGCTTTTCAAAAATATACACCGAGGCAAAAAATTTGTTGCATTTATACAAGTATTTGATTTTACATTTATATTACAAGTATAAAAATCTTAGAAAAAAATGTTGCTTGATACCAAAATTTTTTGTTGCACTTGATACTATTTCCTTGCAAAAGGAGGGTACTTACTCTATTCAACACCTCTTAGAAGTGAAAGAGCCTTCACACTGGTTACGATAAATGAGAAATCGGATGCTTAAGTAATCCGAGCGCAGCTATCTAATTTCCCCTACTGTGCAGTTTAGTAGCACGGACGTTGTGACAGCTTTCTTAATTCGCTCCACTGCACAGTTCATTTTAATTCCGTCGGACTACTAAATTGATACATGCTGAGGCCTCCTGTCATCAAGGAGGTGTTGCTCTATTCCCTCTGAATAAACCTTTCTTTTTAATATTTAATGTTTGGATTGTGACGAAGTTTGAGCGAGCTGAACAGTACAAAATATCTAATCTAAATAAAGAATATTTAGTGTACAATAAATATTTTAACTTTTTAAAATGTTATTTTATACTCTGTACCAAAATCTAATTAAACCTTTCCTTAACAGTATCCAAGTGATCGGAGATTAAGAGACTTTCCTTCCTATGTAAGTAGATTTATTTCATAAAGAACATTATCAGCTGTTTTTTTCAATTTTTTGTCGTGTGCCTGTTCAGGCAGTGGGGTTGCGATTGTTCCTGTCTTTCAGTGGAGCCATCTATGGCCGGGAATTCGACTTCTGCCACTCCATTCACACAACCACACCCCGTTTCTAGGGCGGGTCACATTCATCAGCTGTTGTTATTTAGCATATTTGTCATAAATCATAGCGCAGTTCTCAGAAGAAAAAAAATTTGGAAAGGCTGATTCAATTGATAATCACAAATAAAAGATTGCGTCTGGAAGGCGAATAGTTAGTGATTAAATAGCAATCAGGGCTAGGTGTTCAAAAAATAATCAACGATTTGAAAATCAAGTAAAGAAAACAAATGGCGGCGCTGTTATCTAAACATTCTGTAAAACGATGCTTTTTACTGCTTGTCAAAGCTTTCCAACTGGTTATTACTTTCTCCACAAACTGCTATACATTATAATTCGACAAGAATTCGGCACCCAGCTCGCATCAACCATAGTGACATAATATATCCTCATGCTGACATAATATGTCCTCAGAAGTAGACAGATCACGAGTTAGAATTCCCTTGCCATCAGACCAAACATGGGAGTTTTTCGCGGTTTCTCTCTCCTAGTAACGCAAATGCGGGGTGGTTCTCTCAAAAAAGTTCTCGAAGAAGGCAATTTTGTCCCAATACTTGATCCAGGAGTTCCTTCGTCTTCTGGATTGGGTTCAAAATTACAAGACTACGGAGTTGAATATTGGTAATCATAAATTCAAAAAATTGGGTCACTGTTCAACGACAGTTATAAAATACATTGTAACGTGTTGCTGTTTTCTTTCTTTTTTGTTCAAAAAATTAAGGGAAATATTGTTTTATTATTTTTCTGACTTGGCAACGTCATTTCTTGCAACGTTTGTATCTAATTTTGAAATTTGGTGAGAAACATTTTTGGTGGCTTTGGTAGAACACAGTAAAAGTACATATGTATTTTCATCCTTCTTACCTTTCTTAAATTTTCAAACTGACAGTCATTTATGGGACACACGGTATAAAAATGTCGATTCCGTTTTGTCTTTTGGATTTAGGTATCGATCATGCATTTCGATTATTTAAACGATTCTTGAAAAGTTTNTATGTATGTATGTATGTATGTATGTATGTATGTATGTATGTATGTATGTATGTATGTATGTATGTATGTATGTATGTATGTATGTATGTATGTGTATGTAAATCAGATTTTTTTATTAGGTTAAAACAAATACGATTTAGAACAGAATTATGAGAAAGTTAAATGTTTTCCAAGCATGCGCTGTATTATAGGAGGACTTTGAATGTTCTTATCTTGAGCAAATTTTAACGAAATTTCTTTCAAATTTTAAATTTATATTTTTGTTATGTATTAAAAAAGTACGTTAAAATTTTTATTTAATTTTATTAAATATTTCTGAAGTATCAGTAAGAAAACATGAAGCAAATAAAAATTAGTTTTTTTCTAAAGTTTACATATCTTTATGAATATTTAAGCTAGGTTTACGAAATTTTGTTCATTATTTGCATCTAATAACCAAAGTAATCGATTCAAGTTACAAGCTTATAGATTCATTTTCTTGCAGAAGATGTTCTAAAATACTATTTTTTGTTCGTAATTTTGTAACAATCTCTCAAATTAAAATATCTCTCAAATTAAAATTAAAATATNTGTTCATTATTTGCATCTAATAACCAAAGTAATCGATTCAAGTTACAAGCTTATAGATTCATTTTCTTGCAGAAGATGTTCTAAAATACTATTTTTTGTTCGTAATTTTGTACCAATCTCTCAAAAAGTTCGATTTTAAAATCACATATATAATTTAGTGTCATTAAAATAAATTGGTAGTGACGTATGTTTTTTGTTTATCCAAAATAAGCATATAATTGCCAACTTATTCGGCTGTTGACAAAAAAATTTCTTTGCTCTTCTATCTTAAGATTCAATCAATCTTACAATCGACAAATCAATCATTTCAAAGTCTGTTGACACCGGATTGCCAATTTTCTACGCTTTTTGTGAAAATTTATTCTAATGGTAACTATTTATATGTTTAAATGTATTATGTTTCAAAGTATTGTGTTTTATACATTTGAACTTATTGTCCACATCACTACATGCAAATCTTTTAAAAGTTCATATGCAACGCCACTTTGCTCCAGAACTTTCGTGGAACTCCTACAGTAAGGACAGATAGTACATTGAATTTAAGAACATCCATGCCTTGTCCGGGATTCGATCCCAGATCCTTTTTAATGCAAGGCCAGTTCCCTGCCCCCTGCCCAGGCCGGTCGACTAGATTAGGAAATTAATAACTCCTTTTTAGATATAATACCAGCAGTTTTGTAATTATTGTATAGGACTGCAATATTTTTATTATAATGCTTTTTTTTATTAAAATGGATCTTAAAAAAGAAAGCAGCTTTTAACTTCCTACGTTCATTTTCATCGATGCAAATTTTGCAGGGGTAAAAAGGACCCCATTTTTTAAAGCTTCAAGCATGATCTTTCAAATTGTGCCAACAATTTTACGATATAAATTTTTTGGAAAAACGTTTTTTGCTGTTAGAAAACTTTTTAAACAGAGTTAGTATAAAAGTGTTTCCATAATTTTGTCCTACCCCTGAAAATGGCGGACCAGTATCAAACCTTTTGAAAACTTGACTCCAAAATTGGAATTGGAATTTAAGTGATTATCAGTGTTTATACGGCAGTAAGAAATGTTGACAGTGCAAATTACAAAATTTGCCGATTAACTTGATGTTAAATTATTCGTTTCTCATCTAAAAAAAATAAAAAAATATAGTGACGCATCGATAATTTAAAACTAGAAAAAAAACGTGTGTAACAGTTTCGAAAATTAAAATATTTAAAAAAAACTTATCTTTCGCATGTATTAACCAGCTAACATAAAAATTAAATTAAAATTTGTTGGAAACTGGAAAATTCTTCAAAGTTCAATATTTTAAAACATAGATTTTTGAAACTGAGTTGTCAAGGCTCACCCTACAAAAATCTCAAGTTACGCCAACGTTTATCTAATTTTTATGTTTCATTTTTAAGATTGTAGCAGAATCTATACAAGTGACGGAGGAGTTATAGCAAATTCAGGATATCCAAATGTACGGAATCCAGAAATTTTTTGCAATTTTTCGATACAGACTACAGTGGAAAAAACTATTTCCCTCTATTTTTACCGTTTCAACATGTTTGAATGTTCTAAATTCTTTTTCAAAGTAAGTTTCAATGCAAATCTTGTTAATTAATCTACAAAGTAATTTTTAACGTAATCTTGTTATTATGTCTGATAACATTGCACACGAATACCTCAGGTAGGTAACTAAAAATGTAAGAAGGGTAATAACTCAATTCATTTTTATTTCTTAAATCTATTTAATAATTCTATCTAAACTACCACCATAACTTACATTTCAAATTATTCCCGTTTAAATTGAATACATTCTTTTTCAGTTAACTCTGAAGAGTACACCAAAAGTAGAAAAAGTTGCTAATTTTAAATTTCTTTTAATAGATTTTTGACTATTTATTATCCACCACTTTTTACCTGACGCCATACCAGCTTGTTCTTTAGTAAAATGTAAGAAATTCAAATACAGAATTTCTGCAGCATGGAAAATAACAGAATTTGAATACAGGGTTCTACAACCTGGGAAATGACAGAAATTTAAATACAGGGTTTCTACAACATGGAAAATAACAGAATTTGAATACAGGGTTCTACAACCTGGTAAATGACAGAAATTTAAATACAGGGTTTCTACAACATGGAAAAAATCAATAAGTTGTAGTAAAGCTTTCTCAAGGCTACATAAAAGTTTTTAAATTTGAATTCCACCTGAGCATTACAAAAAAAAAACTTTAACACTTAGCCCTCAGGATTCTTTGAATGGTAAAATAAAACTTACGTAAGCAGCTGAAGTTAATAAGGCAAAACGCACAGTTTGCCAACTTCTATAAAATAACAGACAATCACTTAATTAAGTGCTCGCTAAACAATTTACAGTTTAGAATTTATCATTTAGAATGGTATGTAATGTAGGAGATGTAGGAGACAATGGTGCCTGAGAGGCACTATTGGAGTGCAAGGGGTTAAACTGAACTTAAAGGAGTAGCTTATAATATCTATGTTTTTTCTACTTCGCTACTGCTTTAAAACATTCTCAAATTCGTAGCATCCTTGGAAGCTCGCCGAAAATTAACATTACTAATTTACATTGTGTGGCTGGGTGGCGCAGTTGGTTTGTCGTCGGCCTTCTGAACCCAAGTCTGCGGGTTTGATCCCCGGCCCAGACACCGGATTTCGGGATGCAGAAAATCCTCAGCGGCCATGTCGTATGATTATGCGGCATGTAAAAGATCCCTGGAGTGCCTTATTGGCTCTTGGCATTTTCGGCAAAATTAAATTCCTTGTGCACTTTAGCATCCATATAGAGTCTCGGTGCTGCCATCTAGTGTGGCAGAAACTAGACGTCCAAATTCACATGACCAACGGTATCTCACCCATTGTAGTGGTCCTGAGAGAGTGGATACCACCTCTGGAGAACGCACTAGGTCTGCTCATCGGCAAGAATGATTGTGCAGCTCATTGGAAATAAAATAAAAATTTACATTGCTAAAATTATGCACTTCTGTAAGAAGAAATGAATTTGCACAGGGATGCCAACTTTTTAAAAAAGTTTGGGAAAATTTCTTCTAATGATAGCTAAGTTTATTTTTTTATGTATGGTTATTTGTCTTTTTAATTCGATTTAAAGTTGTTTCTCAAACAACTACTTGTAAAGTATTCAAAAATTTAGAAATAAAAACACTAATTTGATCCAGTTTTCTTGTAGTGAGAATTTTACAATGTTGGCAAAATTACCAAAAACTCTGAAAAGTTCAATTTTTAATTGTAATAAAATGTTTTGCAAAAGGCGACGTAGTAAGCAGAAATGTGCGTTATATAAATAACGTTTTATATGAAGTTTAGAGTAGTTGGCGCGTATTGGTGGCGAAGTGGCTTTAAATCAAAGTTACTAAGCGAAGAATCATACTATGAAGAACATACTTTGCTTACACGAGAGATTGAGATGCATTTCATTGGCCTTTACAGGGGAGCATACAGTGTGGCTCGCCCCTAAAATTTATTTAAAACATTCCAGAAAGCAATTATGAAAAAAATGTAAATATTCCGGTGGCTTACAGACAAGGGTTAAGGAAAAAAATTTACAAAAAAGCAAATAATTTAATGGATAAAAAAATTTTAAAAAATTCATAGAACAAAAAATTAAGCAACATTAAAAACAAATCAAGGTCCAAGCTTGCTAATACTTGAAAAATATTTGCCCATAAAATAGATCAATTTGGCGTTTCTGAGTAAGTGGTGCATTGTTCACGTTTAACTCAGTGCGACCTGGAATTAGCTTTGTAAAATATAGTTAGATTCCAGAATATTCTAGATCTATCTATAATATTCTTGAATTTTTATTTATATAGGTATATGATGGGCTCAATAATAGTGCACCTCTACTGATGAATCAGTGTCATACCTTCATGCCTCCTGATCCTGTGTTTTCCACTGGAAATTCATTATACTTTGAAGCAAATATGACAAATGGTCTTGGATTATTTTATATGAACTATATGACAACAGATCAGTGTAAGCCGTTTTTATGCTAAAAAAAATCATAACCTTCTCTTATGCATATTCTCTTTTAACTTTTTAAGATCTAAGATACACGAATGTACAAAGCGCCTGAAAAAAAAATAAAAGAAAACGGACCACACTGAATAACTTTTGATCTAAAGATCCGATCTTCACGTTCTAGAACTTATTCTTCAATTTTGATAAAAAATTTTATTTTTCCATGTAAAATTGTGATCTTTAAAATGATGCAAAAAATTGCATACCTTGCAATTAAAATTGTTTGCCCATTTTTAAGTAAAAAATAATAAATAATTACTATAAAGTATTTTTTGCATGGAATTGTCTTTGGATAAACAAATTTTATAACTGTGGGCAAACATTTCTCGAGATATAGCAAAATAAGCTAAAATTGAAATCAACATAAAGAGGTCCGAACTTTAGATCGCTCTCCTGACTAAACTATGATGGCCATATTTTTCAGATTGTGGCTATCCCCTATATTTTGGGGGACTGAAATCCGAATCCATTGAAAAAAAGGTATGTTCATACAGAGAAAGTACGTTTTTGTGTCTGATTTCGCAAATTAAAATATAGTCTGCGCTAATTAATTAGCATATTTCAGGTCACCCCCTCGAGCCATTAAGATTCAGTCCCTGAAAGTGAAGATCCGATCATTAGATCA